GAGCAGTTTTTCCGCCGCCTCCGCCTCCACGCTTACTTTTTCAACCGTGAGCCTAACCCTCCCTCTACTGACCCCTTCTCCCGCCTCCAACACACCCTCTCCTCCTGGACACCACCCCAAGGCCTCCTACACTCCCTCGACCTCTTCATCTCCAAATGCCGTCGAGACATCAATTGCCTCAACCTCTCCACCCCTCTCACTCACTCCAACCTCTCCCCCGCAGAACGTGTAGCCCTCCGCTCCAATCTCAACCTCACCATAAAACCCGCGGACAAGGGAGGCGCAGTTGTAGTATGGCGCACTGACCTCTACATCGCCGAGGCCAGGTGCCAACTCTCCGACATCTCCTCCTACCGCCCCCTTGATCATGACCCCACCCCCGAGCACCAAACCATCATCTCCCAAACCATCCACAACCTCATCACCTCAGGTGACATTTCACCCACAGCCTCCAACCTCATCATTCCCCAACCCTGCACCACCCGCTTCTATCTCCTTCCCAAAATCCACAAACCTGAATGCCCTGGTCGACCAGTTGTCTCTGCCTGCTCCTGCCCCACCGAACTTATCTCCACCTATCTCAACTCCATTTTCTCCCCCATGGTCCAAGAACTCCCTACCTACATCCATGACACCACCCACACCCTCCACCTCCTCCAGAACTTCCAATTCCCCGGTCCCCAACACCTCATCTTTACCATGGACGTCCAGTCCCTCTACACCTGCATTCCCCATACAGATGGCCTAAAGGCCCTCCGCTTCTTCCTGTCCTGCAGGCCCGACCAGTCCCCCTCCACTGACACCCTCATCTGCTTAGCTGAACTCGTCCTCACCCTCAACAATTTCTCTTTCAATTCCCCCCACTTCCTACAGACAAAGGGGGTGGCCATGGGTACCCACATGGGCCCAAGCTATGCCTGTCTCTTTGTAGGTTACGTGGAACAATCCCTCTTCCGTACCTACACTGGCCCTAAACCCCACCTCTTCCTCCGTTACATTGATGACTGTATCAACGCTGCCTCGTGCTCCCATGAGGAGCTTGAACAGTTCATCCACTTCACCAACACCTTCCACCCCAACCTTAAGTTTACCTGGACCATCTCCAATACCTCTCTCTCCTTCCTGGCCCTCTCTGTCTCCATCTCTGGCAACCACCTAGAAACTGATATCCATTTCAAGCCCACCGACTCCCACAGCTACCTAGAATACACCTCCTCCCACCCACCTTCCTGCAAAAATGCTATCCCCTATTCCCAATTCCTTCGCCTCTGCCGCATCTGCTCCCAGGATGAGGCATTCCACTCCCGTACATCTCAGATGTCCTCATTTTTCAAGGACGGCATATTCCCCCCCTCAGTGGTCGAGAACGCCCTCGATCGTGTCTCCCGCATTTCCTGCAACTCATCCCTCACACCCCCTTCCCGCAATAACAGCCAAAACAGAATCCCCCTCGTCCTCACGTACCACCCCACCAACCTCCGGATCCAACGCATCATCCTCCAACACTTCCACCATCTGCAATCCGACCCCACCACCAAAGACATTTTTCCCTCCCCACCCTTATCTGTTTTCCAGAGGGACCACTCTCTCTGTGACTCTCTTGTCCGCTCCACACTCCCCTCCAGCCCCACCACACCCGGCACTTTTCCCTGCAACCGCAGGAAGTGCTACACCTGCCCCTACACCGCCCCCCTCACCCCCATCCCAGGCCCCAAGAAGACTTTCCACATCAAGCAGATGTTCACCTGCACATCTGCTAATGTGGTATTGTGCATCCGCTGTTCCCGTTGTGGCCCCCTCTACATCGGGGAAACCAAGCAGAGGCTTGGGGACAGCTTTGCAGAACACCTACGCTCGGTTTGCAATAAACAACTGCACCTCCCAGTCGCGAACCATTTCAACTCCCCCTCCCATTCCTCAGACGACAGGTCCATCCTGGGCATCCTGTATTGCCACAACGATGCCACCCAAAGGTTGCATAACAGCAACTCATATTCCACTTGGGAATCCTGCAGCCCAATGGTATCAATGTGGACTTCACAAGCTTCAAAATCTCCCCTCCCCCTACCGCATCCCAAAACCAGCCCAGCTCGTCCCCACCTCCCTAACCTGTCCTTCCTCCCACCCCAAGCCCCACTCCCATCTCCTACCTACTAACCTCATCCCGCCCCCTTGACCTGTCCGTCCTCCCTGGACTGACCTATCTCCTCCCTACCTCCCCACCTACACTCACCTCTACTGGCTCCATCCCCGCCTCTTTGACCTGTCTGTCTATCTTCTCCTCTATCCATCTTCTATCTGCCACCCCCTCTCTCCCTATTTATTTCAGAACCCCCTTCCCCTCCCCCATTTCTGAAGAAGGGTCTCGGCCCGAAACGTCAGCTTTCCTGCTCCTCTGATGCTGCTTGGCCTGCTGTGTTCATCCAGCTCTCCACCTTGTTATCTCTCAACATTGCGCTGAATTCTCCCAAATTTCTCTCCAGAGCCCATTTTGGTCAGGGCCTGGGATGATTCCACCTATTAACTCAGTTTCATAGAATCCCTACAGTGTGGAAGCAGGCCCTTCGGCCCAACAAGTCCACACCAACCCTCAAAGCATCCCACCCAGACCCATCCCTCTTTAGTCCACCTAATCTACACATCCCTGAACACGTTGGGCAATTTAGCATGGCCAATCCACCTAATCTGCACATTTTTGGATGGGAGGAAACGAGAGCACCCAGAGGAAACCCACACAGATACAGGGAGAATATGCAAACTCTCCACAGACAGCCACCGAGGGTGGAATCGAACCTGGGTCCTGAGTACTGTGAGGCAGCAGTGCTAACCACTGGGCCACCCATAAATCCACAGATGATGCTGGACCCACTGAGTGTTTCCAACATTTTCTGTGTTGACTTCTGATATGACTTGGACTGGCTATAAAATCAGGCATTGTGCGTGTCCAAATTTCCAAAATCATATAATAATGGAGTATCACACTACAGAAAGAGGGAATTCAGTCCATTGCACCTGCATTGGCTTTTTGAAGTATTTAATCATTTACTCATTCCACATGGCCCCAGAAATGTTTCCTTGTCAAGAATTTATCTTTTGGAAGTTGTCATTGAAATCCCCGCAATCTCCTTAATTGTCTTGGGCATCACTGACTGGGCCAGCATTCATTGCCTGTCCCTAGTTGCCCTTGAGCAGGTGGTGATGAGCTAACGTCTTGACCAATTGCAGTCCATATGTTTTAGGTTGACTCACAATGCCCTTAGGGAGGGAATTCCAGGATTTTGACCCAGTCACATTGAAGGAGCGGCGATATATTTCCAAGTCAGGATGGTGAGTGGTTTGGAGCGGAACTTGGGGGTGATGGTGTTCCCATGTATCTGCTGCCCTTCTAGATGGAAGTGGTTTTGGTTTGGAAGGTGCTGTCTGAGGATCTTTGGTGAATTTCTGCAGTGCAACTTGTAGATAGTACACACTGCTGCTACTGAGCGTTGGTGGTGGAGGGAGTGGATGTTTTGGATGTGGTGTCAATCAAACAGGCTGTTTTGTTCTGAACGATGTCAAGCATTTAGAGCGTTGTTGGAACTGCACTCATTCAGGCAAATGGGGAGCATTCCATCACACTCCTCACTTTTCCCCCAAACCCTTGATGAAATCCAGAAGTTTTTCGAACTCTTTCTTGCATTTACTCAGTGACTTGGCCTCCACAATCTTCTGTGGTAAAGAATTCTACAGGTTGAAGCAATATTTCCTTATCTCAGCCCTGAATGGTTTACCCCCTAACTTGTGGGAGACTGTGTCCCCTGGAAACTAGACTAGACTCACAAATCAGAGGAAACATTGTCCCTGCATTGAGACTGTTCAGCCCCGTTAGAATTTTATACATCAGATATAAAACAGTTCCCCTCTCATCTTTTTAAGCTCTAGTGAATACAGGCCCAGTTGAACCAATTCCTCCTCCTATGACAGCCCTGATATCCTCAGCATCAGCTTAGTGAGATTCCACTGCACTCCCTCTGCATCAAGTACATCTTTCTTCCACCCTCTTCCATTGAGCAGAAGATATAAAAGTTTGAATATACGTATGAATAGATTTAAGAAGAGCATCTTCCCTGCTATTATCAGACTTTTGAACAAACCTCTCAAATGTTAATTCTGACCTCTCTCCCTGCACGTTCTTTGCAGCTTTAACACTGCATTCTGCAATCTATTCTGCTACCCTGATGCACTTTGTATGGTACGATCTGCCTGCAGAGCATGCAAAACAACACTTTTCACTGTATCTTGGTACATGTGACAATACTAAATCCATGAATAAATCAACAACTAAATCCTTTCTTAGGTAGGGAAATCAAAACTGCATGAAATACTCCAGTTGTGGTCTCACCAACGTCCTGTATAATTGAAGTAAGAGATCCTTAGTTCTGAACCCACTTCCACTTGCAATGAAGGCCAATTGTGTTTTAGGATGGCCAGACTCATTAAGTGGGAGAGAAGTATGGCTATGGGCCCAAACCTGTCTGATAACACTCCTCAGAACTAGAGCATTGTTGCAATATTAAAGGCAAAGTTTAACAGCAAGTTGTTGTGTAGCCATCTTTATTTGACACTGAATTCTGTAAAGAGTTAGTAGGGCAAGTCACCAAAAGCTTGGTCAAAGAGGTAGGCTTTAAGGAGTCAATTTAAACACAGAGAGAGAGGTACAAAGGTTTATGGAGTGAATTGCACAGTTTCGCAGGAGTTTTCAAAGATGATTATTGTGATGGCTGTAACTTTAACTGCTGATTCTCCGTCCCATTGGTCCTGTTCCCCCTCAATAAGATGAAAACTACATTGTCAGAGCTGCCGTCTCCTTTGTGTCTCAGAAAAATGAGCAGCCATTTCATTGAAACACGTGAGATACTGCGATGATGATTTTCCCATTCCACTGACGCGTGGTGACCACACTGCCAAAACCTGATGAATCTCAGAATGATTTATTTTCCTTTCTCTCGTTCTTTTTGTAGATTGTGCAGAAGAAGATGTTTGGTCCCATCTGGAAGAATAAGTTCGGCCCCATCACTGTCATCAATGTGGCCACTGCTGATTTGATTGAGCAGGTTTTGCGACAGGAGGGCAAATACCCGGTGCGGGCCCTTATGCCACACTGGCGAGAGTACAGAGAGTTGAGAGGGCAAGCTTATGGACCGCTTTGTGAGTGAGTATTGTGGGCAGCATGCAATACAAACTACCAGGGCTCAGTTGTTTAGCGATAAATGACTTCCCGAAGTGAGGGTCAGGACCCAAGTGAGCTGAAGCTGTGGGGACGTGAGCTGTAAGGCAGCAATGGCTGCCTGTTACCTGTAACTGCATTATAATTGCTGCCTTTAACACAGGGCACCACCCAAAGCTTCACGAGACCTGGTACAAAGGATATAAAAGAGACCATTTAACCCAGCCAGTCGGTGCTGGTGTTTATGCTCCTGTGGAATTCTCTGACACAGAAAACTGTTGAGGCCAAAATATTGAAGATTTTCAAGAAAGAAGTTGATATTGTTCTTCGGACTACAGGGATCAAAGGGTATGGGGAGAATGGGGTAATAGGATACTGAGTTGGATGAGCAACCATGACCATATTGAATGTTGGAGCAGGTTCAAAGGGCTGAATGGCCTACTCCAAATCCTATATTCTGTGTTTCCATGTGGTAAGCTTCCTCCCATCTTTCCTCATTTAGATCTATCATTGTGATTTTCTATTCCCCTTTCCCCCCAATAATCTTGGTTAGTTTCCCCTGAAATGTGTCAATAATATTCACTTCAACCACTCTGTGATAGCAAGTTCCATCTTCTTGGACTCTCTGAGTGAAGAATTTTCTTCCAAGTTCCCTATTACCCTGATGTATTTATGTAACGTAGGATTTGTCTGGTTAGCATGCAGACCAGTGCTTTTCACTGTATCTTGGTACATGTGACAATAATAAATCAAATCAAATCAAAATCTCAAAGACTATTTTACATTGGATGGCCTCTGATGAAGCTTTTCCCACAAGAGAAAATATTCTCTCTCTGTCCACTCTCTCAAAACCTTTTTTTGATGTCTGTTTCCTCTTTCAAGGGATGTGAACATTGTTGGCAAGGCCAATATTTGTGGTCCATCCCTCATTCTGAGTAGCTTGTTAGACCATTAGTGTCAGCCACATGGTTGGGGATCTGGAGTCACATGTAGGTCAGATAAGGAGGTAAGGAGGACCATTTCCTATTCTTAGACCTTTATGACAATTGCTTAAAAGGGGAGGTGATTGTCTAGTGGCATCATCACTAGACTAATATTCTAGAAGCTCAGCTAGTGTTCTGGGGACCCAGGTTCAAATCCCGCAAAGGCTGATGATGGAATTTGAATTCAATAGAGGAAAAAAAATTAGAACTAAGAATGTACTAATAACCATGAAACAATTGTTGGAAAAACTCGTCTTGTTCACTCATGTCCTTCAGGGAAGTAAATCTGCCACCTCACCTGGTCTGGCGTATATGTGACTCCAAACCCACAGCAATGTGGTTGACTCTGAACTGCCCTCTGGGCAATTAGGGATGGACAATAAATGCTGGCCTAGCCAGTGACACCCTCATCCCATGAATAAAAAGAATGCTGGGGATGGTTATCATGCTTTACTTTACAAATTTATTTTTCTTTTATTTATCGAATTTAAATTCTACTCATTGCTGTGGTGAGATTTGATCCCACGTTCCCCGAATATCAACGGGGGTCTCAAGATTCCTAGTTTAGGGATAGATATTACCACTACATCACCATCACCCCCATTGTACATGTGGCTCTGGACTTGGGTTATACAGGGCATCATTTAAAATTTCCAGATGATGGGAACTTTGAAATGAATGAACAGCAAATGACAACCTTTAAATGGGTGTAGACTGGTGAAACGAAATGTAATACAGAGATTCATTTTAATAGGCAGATTGAGGAAATGCAATGCACATTAAACAATCATAATTTTAAAGGGAAATCATGAATGAGAGAGTGACCAAAGTCTAGATTTAGACAAGGTCTGGATTGCACAGCTGGTAGATTAAATTGAAGCATTGAAGAGCGAACTGGTTATCTGAGAAGGATGAATGTACATGGTCACTAGGATAATTACAAGTCTGATTGTTGCATTTGTCCCATTTGAGTAACTTTTCAAATAAATGGTTTAATATTTCAGATTAGAAAATGTGAAATTATAAGCAAGATTTAAGACCAGAGTGTGTGAAGGAAATGGGTGGACCTTAACTTAATAGGAGTGTTTACTAGGAGGGCAAACATCATGAGGAAGTTCTGAAGAAGGGTGACTGGACCTGAAATATTACCTCTGATTTCTCCCCACCAATGCTGCCAGATCAGCTGAGCATTTCCAGCCATTTCTGTTTTAGTTTCTGATTTCCAGCATCTGCAATTCTTTTGGTTTTTGGCATAAGGTAGTTGTTTATTTAGAGAACCAGTGCAAACACAATGGGCCACATTCTTTGAAGTCTTTGATGGTGATAAAATAAATTGACACAAGGTTGATATCAGGGCGTTTTGGATCCACAGCTCTGTAACTAGAGGTACAGAATGTGAAAGCTAGTGCATTATTTCAAACCTTTGCAAAAACCAATTAGGCCTCGGCTGGGTTACTGTGTCTAATTCTGGGCATGACAATTTCGGCCAGATGTCAGAGCTTTAGAGAGATTGTGGAATAGTAGGAGGGATGAACAATTGCAATAATGAAGAAACTGGAATTGGTCTCCTTAGAGCAGAGAAGGTCATGGAGAGATTTACTTCACGTGTTCAAATTAGTGAATTTTGTTTTAGATTTTTGTTTTAGAGAACAAAGATTTAATTCAGAGATAGTAGGAAATGCAGATGCTGGAGAATCTGAGATAACAAGGTGCAGAGCTGGATGAACACAGCAGGCCAAGCAGCATCAGAGGAGCAGGAAAGCTGATGTTTCGGGCCTAGACCCTTCTTTAATCAGTGGAAAAGCTGTTTCAGCAAAGTTGTTTCTTTGGAACGTAGTCAATTTCAAGAAGAAATTGAGTAATAGGACAGAAAGGAAATGAATTCCCAGGCTTCTGAGAAAGAGCTGGTGAAGGACACTAATTGGACGCCTCTTTCAAAATGTGAACTCCTTCTACCATTCTGTGAATGCAGCCAAACCTACTGAGGAACTTGGCTCTGGTTATTAGCCCACCCTGTGCAGCTCAGTGAAACCTCTGCTCTTTAGAGGCTTTAACTTAAATGTGAATAACAATTACCTCAGGTGCAATTGTCCCCTCGGTGGAGGTGACGAGGGAAGAGGCGAGAAGGAGGGCAATTACTGGACAAGTTCGCCCTGGAGAGATACACATCTTCCCCTTCTCACCAACTCACCAATTAAGTCACAAACAAAAACAGAAGTTGCTGGAAAAGCTCAGCAGGTCTGGCAACATCTGTGAACAGAAATCAGAGTTAACGTTCTGGGTCCAACGACCCTTCCTCAGAGCTGAGTTCCCTTATATCCCAGATTTATCCAAATCCTTTACAAAAGTTACTATTGAATCTGCTTCCACTGGCCTTTTAGACAGTGCATTCTGCATTTCAACAACTCTGTCTGTAAAATTAAGATTCTCCTCATGTCCTGCCTGCTTCTGAGGCCTGTTATTTTGAAACAGTGACCTCTTGTTACAGACTCACCTCTGAGCAGAAATGGTTTCTTGCTGGCTACTCTCCCAGAAACCCTTTTCTATAAAACCTGCTTCATAGGATTTGGATAGGCCTTTCAGCCCTTTGAGCCTGCTCCAACATTCAATATGGTCACGACTGATCATCCAACTCAGTGCTCTGTTCAAAAACAGAAGTTGCTGGAAAATGACAATGAGAAGAGGGAGGGTTAATACAGGACTGAAGGTGTTATATCTGAATGCACGCAGTAAAAGGAATAAGGTAAAAGAGCTTGTGGCGCAGATCGAAACTGGCAGGTATGACGTGGCAGATATCACGGAGACGTGGCTGCAAGGGGATCAGGATTGGGAACTGAATATCCAAGGAAATACATCCTATCGAAAAGATAGGCAGGTGGGCTGAGAGGGTGAGGTTGCTTATTAGTAAGAAATGAAATTAAATCAATAGGAAGAAATGAAGTAGGGTCAAATGGTGTAGAATCTGTGTGGGTAGAATTGAGGAACAGCAAAGGTAAAAATACCATAGTTAGAGTTGTGTACAGGCCTCCAAACAATAGTCAGGAGCTGGGGCGCAAGATACACCAGGAGATAGAAAAGGTGTGTAAGAAAGACAAAGTTACAGTGATCATGGGGGATTTCAATATGCAGGTGGACTGGGAAAATCATGTTGGTAGTGGATAGCAAGAAAAGGAGTTTGTGGAATGTCTACAAGATGCTTTTTGGAGCAGCTCATGGTGGAGCCCACAAGGGAACAGGTAACACTGGATTTAGTGTTGTGCAATGAGGCAGACTTGATAAGGGAGCTTAAGGTAAAGGAACCTTTAGGAGGCAGTGATTATAATGTGATTGAATTTACTCTGCAATTTGAGAGGGAGAAGATAGAATCAGAAGTAACGGTATTACAGCTGAATAAAGGAGAGGTATGAGGGAGGAGCTGGGCAGAATTGACTGGAAGAGGAGCGTAGCAGGAAAGACGGTGGAACAGCAATGGCAGGAGTTTCTAGGAGTAATTCAGGAGACACAGCAAAAATTTATCCCGAGGGAAAAGAAGCATGGTACAGGGAGGATGAGGCAACCATGGCTGACTATGGAAGTCAGGGATAGCATAAAAACAAAAGAGAAAGCATATAATGTGGCAAAGGGCAGTGGGGAACCAGAGGACTGGGACGCTTACAAAGACCAACAGAGGGCAACAAAAAAAGAAATAAGGAGGGAGAAGATTAAATATGGGGGTAAGCTAGCCAGTAATATAAATGAAGACTGTAAGAGTTTCTTTAGATATATAAAGGGCAAAAGAGAGGCAAAAGTGGACATTGGACCACTGGAAAATGACGGTGGAGAGATAATAGTGGGGAACAAGGAAATGGCTGAGGAACTGAATAATTACTTCGCGTCAGTCTTCACGGTGGAAGACACGAGTAATCTCCCAAAAATTCAAGACAGTCGGGGGGCAGAGCTGAGTATGGTGATGGTGGCCATCACCAAGGAAAAGGTGCTAGTAAAACTGATTGGTGGATAAATCACCTGGACCAGATGGACTACACCCCAGAGTTCTAAAAGAGATAGCTGAAGAGATATTGGAAGCGTTAGTGGTGATCTTTCAGGAATCGCTAGAGTCATGGAGGGTCCCAGAGGACTGGAAAATCGCTAACGTGATACCCCTGTTTAAAAAGGGAGTAAGGCAAAAGACGGAAAATTACAGGCCGATTAGCCTAACTTCGGTTGTGGGTAAGATTTTGGAGTCCATTGTGAGGGATGAGTCTGAGGTTCGTTGTGGACTTGTTGGGCCGAAGGGCCCGTTTCCACACTGTAGGGATTCTATGATTCTATGATATGAATATTTGAAAGTGTATAGTAAAATAGGGCAAAGTCAGCATGATTTCATCAAGGGGAGGTTATGCCTGACAAATCTGCTAGAATTCTTTGAGGAAGTCATGAGCAGGGTAGACCAAGGAGAACCAATGGATATTATCTGCCTGGACTTCAAGAAGGCCTTTGATAAGGTGCTACACAGGAGGCTGCTGAGTAAGGTAAGGGCCCATGGTGTTAGAGGCAAGGTACCAGCATGGATAGAAGATTGGCTGTCTGGCAGAAAGCAGAGAGTGAGGATAAAGGGGTCTTTCTCAGGATGGTAGCCGGTGACAAGTGGTGTTCTGCAAGGGTCAGTGTTGGGACCACAACTTTTCACGTTAAACATTAATGATCTCGATGAAGGAACTATGGGCATTCTGGCTAAGTTTGCAGACAATACAAAGATAGGTGGAGAGACAGGTAGTATTGAGGAGGTGGGGAGGCTGCAGAAGGACTTGGACAGGCTAGGAGAATGGGCAAAGAAGTGGCAGATGGAGTACAATGTGGGAAAGTGTGAGGTCATGCACTTCGGTAAGAAAAATAAAAGCATGGACTATTTTCTAAATGGTGAGAAAATTCAGAAGTCTGAAGTGCAAAGAGACTTGGTAGTTCTAGTCCAGGATTCTCTCAAGGTAAACTTGCAGGTTGAGTCAGTAGTCAGGAAGGCAAATGCAATGTTGGCATTTATTTTGAGAGGACTTGAATATAAAAGCAGGGATGTACTACTGAGGCTTTATAGGCTCTGGTCAGGCCATATTCGGAGTATTGTGTGCAGTTTTGGGTCCCATATCTCAGGAAGGATGTACTGGCCCTGGAGCGGGTTCAGTGGATGTTCAACGAGAATGGTCCCAGGAGTGAAAAGCTTATCATATGAGGAACGTTTGAGGACTCTGGGACTATACTCATTGGAGTTTGGAAGGATGAGGCGGGATCTAATTGAAACTTACAGAATATTGAATGGCCTGGACAGAGTGGAGGTTGAGAAGATGCTTCCATTGGTAGGAGAGTCTAGGACCCGAGGGCACAGCCTTAGAGTAAAGGGAAGACCTTTTAGAATGGAGATAAGGAGGAACTTCTTCAGCCAGAGAGAGGTGAATCTATGGAATTCACTGCCACAGAAGGCTGTGGAGGCCAGGTCATTAAGAACATTTAAGACTGAGATAGATAGGTTCTTGATTATCAAGGGGATCAAGGCTTACGAGGAGAAAGTGGGAGAATGGGGTTGAGGAGCTTATCAGCCATGATTGAATGGTGGAGCAGACTCGGTGGACCAAATGGCCTAATTTCTGCTCCTATGTCTTATGGTCTTGTGGAAAAGCTCAGAAGGTCTGGCAGCATCTGTGGACAGAAAATCAGAGTTAACGTTTTCGGTCCGGTGACCCTTCCTCATAACTATATCTACATCTTTCTTGAAAATCTTCAATATTTTGGCCTCAACCGTTTTCTGTTTCAAAGCATTCCACAGGAGCATAAGCACCAGCACCGACTGCTTGGGTCAAATCATAGAATCCCTACAGTGCAGAAACAGGCCATTTGGCCCATCGAGCCCACTATTGACCCTCTGAAGAGCATCCCTCGCAGAAACTCCCCCACGCCATCCCTGCATTTCCCACCCTAGACATCATGGGTAATTTAGCATGGCCAATGCACCTAACCTGCACATCGTCAGACTGTGGGAGGAAACCGGAGCACCCGGAGGAATCCCACGCAGACACGGGGAGAATGTGCAAACTCCACACAGACAGTCACTTGAGGGTGGAATCAAACTGATGTCCCTGGTGCTGTGAGGCAGCAGTGCTAACCACTCAGCCACCGTGCTGCCCCACAATCTGTTTTATATCTTTTGTGGCAGGTCTTTTCTATAAAACCTCCCCTCCTCTGCCCTGAGGAGAAAAGTATTCCGAAAATATTGTCCGGAGCCATAAGTATAGGGGAAGCAATGGCCTCGTGATTTAAGCATTAGACTATTAAGGTTATTCACTTTGGAAGCAAAAATAAGAAGGTAGATTACTACCTGAATGGCTGTAAATTGGGAGAGGGGAGTGTGCAGTGGGACCTGGGTGTCCTTGTGCACCAGTCGCTGAAGGTAAGCATGCAGGAGCAGCAGGCGGTAAAGAAGGTAAATGGTATGTTGGCCTTCACTGCGAGTGGTTTCGAGTACAGGGACAGGGATGTGTTGTTGCAGTTGTAAATTGAGGGGTGATGGATATAGGACAGATGTCAGAGGTAGATTCTTTAGTCAGAGAGTAGTAAGGGCGTGGAATGCCCTGCCTGCAACAGTAGTAGACTCGCCAACTTTAAGGGCATTTAAATGGTCATTGGATAAACATATGGATGATAATGGAATAGTTTAGGTTAGATGGACTTCAGATTGGTTTCACAGGTCGGCGCAACATCGAGGGCTGAAGGGCTGTACTGCGCTGTTATGTTCTATGTTCTATGTTCTATGTTCTATGTACAGGGCTTTGGTGAGACCACAACGAGAATATTGTGTGCAGTTTTGGTCACCTTTTCTGAGGAAGGATGCTCTTGCTCTCAAGGGAGAGCAGTGAAGGTTTACCAGGCTGATTCTGGGGATGGCAGGTTTGACGTATGAGGAGAGATTTACTAGGTAGGATTGTTTTTGCTGAAGTTCAGACAAATGAGGTGGGGGGGTGGATCTCATAGAGACTTATAAAATTCTAACAGGACTGAACAGAGTAGATGCAGGGAGGATGTTCCCGATGGTGGGTGTGTCCAGAACCAGGGGTCACAGTCTGAGGATTCAGGGTAGACGATTTAGGACAGAGATGAGGAGACATTTCTTCACCCAAAGAGTGGTGAGCCTGTGGAATTCGTTACCACAGGAATTAGTTGATGCCAAAACATTGAATGTATTCAAGAGGCGGCTAGATAGAACACTCGGGGCGAATGGGATCAAAGGTTATGGGGAGAAAGCAGGATTAGGCTATTGAGTTGGATGATCAGCCATGATTGTGATGAATGGCGGAGCAGGCTCGAAGGGCCTCCTCCTGCTCCCTAACTTCTGTGTTTTGTAGGGATTCTGGTTTGCGATCAGTAATCTGCCGATTTTTCGGTGGCTTGAATCACCCCCCAGATCCCTGGTTCTGACACTGGGCTTAATTTAGGAATGTGAAGTGAAGAAGGCAGTAGGCAGGTGTTTCAGGGCAAAGAATCTTTGTGTTTATTAAATGCAAAGGTGAGTATATCACAGGAAAAGTAAAGACAAAAGTAATAAACAGGGAAATAAAACAAAAGACGAATAAAAATACAAGAGTTAAAAAGGCAAATTAAAAACAGTGAAACTGACACTATCAGTTATTAACTTAACACAGGCTAATTACTATTAGAAACTAAACAGTCTTTTCAAACACAGACATTTTAATCAGACTTCTTGACCTTAGGGTGCCTTGCACTGTCAACAACCTACCTTCCCCTCCCTGCTAGCTATGTTGGATACTTTTGGGTCTTGAGGAAATAGGCTCACCACTGGGGATAAACATAATTTTGAAATAAATCTGGCTGTTCCCACTTTTTGTAGCTGGTGCTTCACTGAAGACTTCAGACAGTGTTCGGTCTGGTTTGAGAATTTGGGTTTTTATTACTTTGTGGTGGTTTTGTGAGTCATTTTTCACCTCAGGATGTGTCTGACACCTTGTCAGTCAGGTCGGTGGTTTTCAGAGGTTGTTGGCCGTCAGATCTGCTGGCCGTGGTTGGTTAGTGTTGGTTCCCCTGGTACGGGACAGCCCTGTGTCGGTAGGTTTCAGGGAGATAGCTGTGCAGATCGTTCTCGGAGAGAGTAGCTGTCTGGGGTCCCTGTCTGAGCCACGGTCGTGCAGTGGTTAGCACTGCTGCCTTACAGCACCAGGGGACCCAGGTTCGATTCCACCCTCGGGCAACTGTCAATGTGGAGTTTGCACCTTCTCCTCGTGTCTGTGTGGGTTTCCTCCCACAGTCCAAAGATGTCCTGTCTAGGTGGATTGGTTACGCTAAATTGCCCCATAGTGTTCAGGGATGTGTAGATTAGGTGGCTTATAGGGGAAGGGTGTGGACTTGTTGGGCCGAAAGGCCTGTTTCCACACTGTAGGGATTCTAAACAAAAAAATTCCAAAAATAAAGTAGGTACATCTAAAGGAAAGCTAGATGAAGGACAAAGATAGGGATGGTTCTGCTGTTGGAGGGGCTTGTAGAGAGCTAGGAGGATCTTCATTATACAGTGGCTGAACGGCCTCTTTCTGTGCTGCATATTTGATATAAACTCAGGTTCTCCAGTCTGTCTGGGTATTGGAATGTCATTGGGACAGTGGGAACAAACACTTGTAACCATCGACTTGATTGTCTTTCCTTGTGTTTGCTGTACAGATACGGAGAGAAATGGCATCACATGCGGACCATATTGAATCCCAAGATGCTGAAGCCAAAAGAAGTGTCTAACTATTCTCCTGCCATCAATGAGGTGGTAACTGACTTTGTGAAGAAGGTTCGTTGGGTGAGAGAAAACCAGGGCAGAGGGGTGATGTTGAACGATGTGTCCAGCGAGCTGTACAAATTTGCATTTGAAGGTAATGACTTTAAACCTAAAAACCAGAGAAAGAAGCCAGTTGGCCCATTTATTTGCACTCCCCTGATCTTTCTGCACAATCATGCAACTTACTCCTGCTTGAGAATTAATTTCATTCTTTTTGGAAGGTCCAACTGAACCTCCTTCTACCTTCTACACCTTAACACCTCATCACGCAGCAAAAAATGTTCTCCTCTTTCTCCAATTTGGGTCTTCTGGAAACAAATGTCCATCTCCGTCCTCTGGGTTCTGAAGAAAAGTCATCTCAGACTCAAAACCTTAACTCTGTTTCACTCTCCAAGATGCCGCTGGACCTACTCAGTTTCTCCATTTTTGTTTCATATTTTTGACCTCAGCATTATTTTGCTTTTAATCTCCATTCTCTGGTTACTGATGCTTCCACCAGTTTCTCCTAACTTATTCTCTCTCGGTCCCAAGTATCTCTGGTAAGTTGTCAGTTATCTTTTTGCGGAGAGGTCTCCCTGCTTAACCATGTTATCCTTCTTGGGTCTAGACTTTGGTCATCTTTCGTCTGTAACAACACAGGGGGTGTACGTAACATCCCCTTCACACACATGGACCACAGCATTTTGAGAAGGCAGTTCCTCACCACCTTCCCCAAGGCAATTAGGGATGGGCATTAAATGCTGGACTAACCAGTGACATTCCCATCATAAAAGCATCAGAAATTTGACAGGGACAGTAGGAGGTAGGTGCTCATGTGATAAAAGCTTCAGGGATCTATCCAGTCAAAGAGTTGGCCTTGAGTCATAGTGGTCTACAGAATGGGTTAAGGCTATTGACCTAACAAGTCTGGGCCAGTCAAAAACAACAACCTAAGGGTCCAGGCCCGAAACGTCAGCCTTCCTGCTCCTCTGATGCTGCTTGGCCTGCTGTGTTCATCCAGCTCTACACCTTGTTAACCTAAGTATTCTAATCCCATTTTCCAGCACTTGGCTCAATAATTCTTAAATGTTATGAGGGTTTCTGCCTAGCATCCTTGTAATTTTGTTCTGCACCCTTTCCAGTTTAATAATATCCTTCCCATAGCAGGGTAGCCAGAACTGTACACAGTACTCCAAATGTGGCCTCACCATTGTCTTGTACAGCTGTAACATAATGTTCAATGAGCATTGTACTCAGTGCTGTAACTGATGAAGGCAAGCATGCCAAAAACCTTCTTCACCACCCTGTCTACCTGTGATGCCAGTTTCAAGGAACTATGTCGTCACACCTCTATACCTATCTGTTTGACAATGCTACCCAGTGCTACCATTAACAGTGTATGTCCTGCCCTAGTTTGTCTTACCAAAATGCAATGCCCACGTTTATCTAAATTAAACTCATTCTGCTATTCCTTGGCCCACTGGCTCGGTTGATCAAATTCCCGTTGTAATATTAGATAACCTTCTTCACTGTCCAATATACCAATGTTGGCATCATCCACAAACATACTACCTCCTAAATTCTCATCCAAATTGTTTATATAAATAATAAACAACAGTGGACCCAGCACTGATCCTTGCAGCACAGCACTGGTCACAGGCCTCCAGCCTGAACAACAAGCCTCTACCACCACCTTCTGTCTCCTACCTTCAAGCCAATTTTGTATCCAATTGACTAGCTCTCCCTGGATCCCATGTTATCTAATCTTACTAACCAGTCTACCTCATGGAACCTTGTCAAAAGCCTTGCTGAAGGTCATCTAGACAACATCTACCACTCTCCCTTCACTTATCTTCTTGGTAACCTCTACAAAAATACACTTTATCAAGTTTGTGAGATGCGATTTCCCATACACTAAGCCATGCTGACTATCCCTAATCAGACCTTGCCTTTCCAAATGCATGTAGATCTTGTCTCTCAGAATCCCCTCCAACAACTTACCTACCACTGATGTCAGGCTCATCGGTCTGTAGTTCCCTGGCTTTTCTTTGCAGCCTTTCTTAAACAATGGCACAACATTTGCCACCCTCCAGTCTTCTGGCACCTCACCTGTGGCTGTTGATGCAAATATCTCTGCTAGTGGTCTCACAATTTCTTTTCTTGCTTCCCACAATAATCTGGGATACATTTGATCAGGTCCTGAGGATTTATCTACCTTTATGTATTTTAAGACTTCCAGCACCTCTTTCTCTGTAATGTGGACTCATTTTAAGTAAAGTGATCTTCCCCTTCTTATTTCCCTGTTCCAACCATGTAGCCTCATTGGATGATCCTCCAGGAATATCCTCTCTAAGTGCTGCCGTGATGTTTTCCCTAAACAAAAACGCCACTCCACCCTTTTCCTCATCTTCTATCCTTCCTATTGGTGTCTGCACCTTGGGACTCAGAGCGGCCAGTCCTGTCCGTCCTTCAGCCATTTTTCTGTAATAGCTATGACATCCCAGTCCCATGTTCCCATCCATGTCCTAAGTTCATCTGCCTTAGGGGGCATGAAAAAGCCTTGGCGGCTAGGATTAAGGAAAACCCCAAGGCGTTCTATACTTATGTGAGGAACAAGAAAATGGCCAGAGTGAGGGTAGGGCCAGTCAGGGATAGTGGAGGGAACTTGTGCATGGAGTCAGAGGAGGTAGGGGAGGTCCTTAATGAATACATTGCTTCCGTATTCACTAGTGAGAGGGACCTTGTTGTTTGTGAGGACAGCATGAAACAGGCTGATATGCTCGAACAGGTTGATGTTAGGAAGGAGGAAGTGCTAGAAATTTTGAAAAACATGAGGATAGATAAGTCCCCTGGGCCAGACAGGATATACCCAAGGCTTCTACGGGAAGCAAGGGAAGAGATTGCTGTCCCTTCGGCGATGATTTTTGTGTCCTCACTGTCCACTGGATTGGACAGATGATTGGAGGGTGGCAGATGTTATTCCCTCATTCAAGAAAGGGGATAGGGATAATCCTAGAAATTACAGACCAGTCAGTTTTACTTTTGTGGTGGGCAAATTATTGGAGAGGATTCTGAGAGATAGTATTTATGATTATTTGGAAAAGCATAGTTTGTTTAGAGATAGTCAGCATGGCTTTGCGAGGGTCAGGTCATGCCTCACAAGCCTTATTGAATTCTTTGAGGATGCAACGAAACACATTGATGAAGCTAGAGCAGTGGATGTGGTGTATATGGATTTTAGCAAGGCATTTGATAAGGCTCCCCATGGTAGGCTCATTCAGAAAGTAAGGAGGCATGGGATTCAGGGAAATGTGGCTGTCTGGATACAGAATTGGCTGTCCAATAGAAGACAGAGGGTGGTAGTAGATGGAAAGTACTCAGCCTGGAGCTCGGTGACCAGTGGTGTTCTGCAGGGATCTGTTCTGGGTCCTCTACTCTTTGTGATCTTTATAAAAGACTTGGATTAGGAAGTGGAAGGGTGGGTTAGTAAGTTTGCCGATGACACGAACGTTGGTGGAGTTGTGGACAGCGTGGAGGGCTGTTGTAGGTTGCAACGGGACATTGACAGGATGCAGAGCTGGGCAAAGAAGTGGCAGATGGAATTCAACCCAGAAAAGTGTGAAGTGATTAATTTTGGAAAGTCGAATTTGAATGCAGAAAGCTGGATTAATGGCAGGATTCTTGGCAGTGTGGAGGAGCAGAGGGATCTTGGAATTCACGTCCATAGATTCCTCAAAGTTGCCACCCAAGTTGACAGGATTGTTAAGAAGGCGTATGGTGTTTTGGCTTTCATTGGCAGGGGAATTGAGTTTAAGAGCCGCGAGGTTATGCTGCAGCTCTATAAAACGCTGGTTAGAACACACTTGGAATATTGTGTTCAGTTCTGGTTGCTTCATTAAAGGAAGGATGTGGAAGCTTTAGAGGGGGAGCAGAGGAGATTTACCAGGATGCTGCCTGGACTGGAGAGCAAGTCTTATGAGGAAATGTTGAGGGAGCTAGGGCTTTTCTCATTGGAGTGAAGAAGGATGAGAGGTGACTTGATAGAGGTGTACAAGATGATGAGAGGCACAGATAGAGTGGGTAGCCAGAGACTTTTTCCCAGGGCGGAAATGAGTATTATGAGGGGGTATAATTTTAAGGTGATTGGAGGAAGGTATAGGGGAGATGTCAGAGGTAGATTCTTTACACAGAGAGTGGTGGGCGTGTGGAATGCGCTGCTGGCAGTGGTAGTGGAGTCAGATACATTAGGGACATTTAAGTGACTCTTGGATAGGCACATGGAGGATAGTAAAATGTCGGATATGCAGGGTAGATTGATCTTAGAGTAGGATAATAGGTCGGCACAACATCTTTGGCTGAAGGGCCTGTAATGTGCTGTACTGTTCTATGTTCTATGTTCTTACCTGTCAGGCCTCTTGCATTGAAATAAATGCCTTTCAGTTCATCAGTTACTACTCACGGGAGCTTGCTGTGTATAAATTGTATGCTGCATTTCCAATTTAACAGCTAAGGGGACAGTATTTCGAAATTAATTATCTGTAAATTTCCTCAGTATATTTTGTGCTTTTGAAAATCATGATATGAATGTGAACCTTGCTTTATTTTTATTGTCCGGTTGTAACTCTCAGACTGTTTCAACCCAAACCATGATTTGCCTCAAAATCTCTCTCCTAATATTTTACCAACTTGCTATCCTTGATCTTTCAATTGTCAATTTAAAACAAAATAGAGGAAAGTAAAGGCTCAAAGATCATCTGGCAAAGTTCTAGCAAATGTCATCAAAGTTTGAATGAGAGTCTAAACCACTTATAAATTAACACTTAGTCACATATATAAAAATAACTCCTCTAATTTACCCTCAGTAACTCCTGGAAATTGTCCCCAGTCACTACCATAAATTAGGAATATTAAGGACAGTTAAGCAACCTGAAATGTTAACTCTGTTTTTTCCTTCACAGATGCTGCCAGACCTGCTGAGCTTTTCCAGCAACCCCTGTTTTTGTTCCTGATTTACAGCATCTGCAGTTCTATCGGTCTTATGAGGAAAGGCTGAGGGACTTGAGGCTGTTTTCGTTAGAGAGAAGAAGGTTAAGAGGTGACTTAATAGAGACATAC